AAGTGGATGAACCTAAAATTGCTGTTTGGCAGAGAATGGGTCATCAAATCTTTCTGCAGGCTATCGTTAGCCCACTAACTCAGATGGCCTACATAGTCCACAGTTTGTCTACAGTGTGATTCACACCATGTCTGTGCCTGCATCACCATGTCTGGGACATCACTGTGGAAGCAAAGAACCTTGGCTCCTAATTCAGGGATACTGTAGGATCACAGGACAATTTGGGTTGGAAGGAACCTCAGGATATTTCTAGTCTGACCTCCTGCTCAAAGCAGGGTCACTACGAGATCAGACCCCGTTGCTCAGGGTTGTATCCAAAAGGAACATGAAAACCTCCAAGGATGGAGATAGCACAACCTCTCTGGGCAGCATGTTCCAATGCGTACTTGTCCTCTTCATCAGTAAGTAATGAATGCATTAGAGTAAAACAGAAGCCTCCCCATTACAAGTGATTTCACTCCCTATCAGGTACACTATGTGAATGAGACCCAGCAAGGCAGAACTGTAAGAAGGTATCAAAAATGAGATTATTTACACACCTGTCAGCCAATCAGAATTATGTGCCAAACAGCCATTCTTTTCAAATCACAAGGAAAAATGCATGAAAGAACGTCTTCAAAACAAACTGCGAAGCTGACCTAAAATTCCAACCCATGCATGGAAGGGCTGACTTGCTGTAGCAGAATTTCACAATACAATTTCCCAGGAACAATTAACTGATGTTGGAAGCAAGGAATCAAATTTGTCAGAAGAAAAAAAAAAAATCTGCAACAATCCAATGTACTTGTTTTTAAAAAAAAAAAAAAACAACTAGGAAAAAAGTCCATGATCCACAAGCAGAACACAAAACACAGGGACAAGCCAATTTAATCTTACCTCAGCCTCACAAAGTGCTTGAAGACCCTGTAACGCTATGGCAGCAGGGGAAGCTTGGTCAGGTTTTGTGCATTCATTTAATACCTGGGAAATTGCAGCCAACATGTCTGCTCCGTGCTGGTATGGCCTAAAGGAAAAAACATGAAGATACAAGGTAATATTCATGCATACACACAAGTTCTATTCTGTAAACAAAACCAATACTTAACGAATTTTTGTGTAAGTGACAACTAAGACTAAAACTGGGAGGGAAAAAAAGATACAAGGGAGGATATGATAGAGAGCTCTAAAGGCTGAGTAACATGGAGAATTAAATCAGCAGATACCAAGTTCCAAATGAAAGATCACCAAGTGGTTAAGCTACAGAAATTTTTGTCCGAGGATGTTGTGTATGCTAAAAGATTACATCATTCAAGAAGTGACTGAGAAGGAAAATCCACATGTGCTATTCTTTGTTTCTTCATTGTAGTCTTCTAGAAGTACTCACTACTGTGTATTAGTAGAGATTCTGGCAGCAAAAGATTTTGGCCTTCTTAGATAGGAATATTTTTCCAATGTTTTTGCTGCCGGAATGTCAAATATTTGTCTATCCTTCAGTGTTTACTTTCCAGTCCTTTACTATCCATTCAGTTTTATTGGGTGGTGGTGGGGGAGGTTAACTGCTGATTCAGCAGTTCCTCATACTGTTTCATTAAGAACTTGGGGTAAATAGCACCTGTCTGGTGATTTATATGCATGGAACATTCAGGCTTCCTCTATTTGCTCTCACTTTCTTCCAAATAATTTCTAAAAGCACAAAGAACGTGCATATACCTGAACTCTAACTATACCACTTACCTGGCAAAAAGAAAATTACAGCTGCATTGAGATTTTTCTCTTGCTTTTCACATATTTTTTTTATTTCTTGAAAAATGCTGTCTAGCAAAATTAAAGAAGATTGAAGAGGTAAAGGAAAGAGTATTTTAAGAATTTTTTTTTTCAGTTGATGATTGAAAGATACCTGAACCTTCCCAGCTGTTAGTAACTGACCACAATAAGGAATGTGAGAAGTAGAACCCAAAAGATAAGTGACAAAGAGAAAAGATGGTATTATGCACATAAAATCAGGAAGTAATTGATAATGTGTTTAAAAATAATCTTTACATGAACTGTATATTATCATCAATTACTGATATTCATGGACAGTTAGAGCTGGAAAGGATCAATATATCACCTAGTTAGACTTGTACAGCTGTATTCTGTGGTGAGTATTACATCTGAATAAAGACCAGGAATTGGCATGTGACAAGACAGCCTTTTCAGAAAAGCACCCAATCTTTCTTTGAATAAATCAAAAGATAGACAGATTATTAGTTGTTTCTTCTAATGTTCATCACTCTCTTTTTGTAATTTGAAAGTGGTATGCTTTAAGTTTCTACTCTGGATCAGTATAGGATGCATGTTTTGTTTCAGGATGAAGACATTTTAATTTTAACACTATTTATATGTGCTTTCTATTACTTATAATACAAAACCCAAAACTTACTAGCTGCTGAGACTAGCAATGCCTGAGTCAGTATCTCGTACAACTAGAAAAATATTACCCACAATTAATATAACAGAGTAGGTAAAAATAACTATGCAGCTTTTCTGAAAAAATTGTTCTCCCTTACAAAGACATTAGACAGGTAACACTTGTGCTTACCTCTGCCTACATATATCTCTTATACAAGCAGCTTTAGCAATCAGCTTTTCCCATTGAGCATCTTTGTCAACAGACAAAGAGGGCATATCAGACATCGCCAAAAACTTCTGCAATTCTGGGTAAATTCGATCCTAGAAAAAATTCAATTTAAAAATTATCATCACACCTTCAAAAGTTGGTGAGAGGATTTTCAGTTGCCAGCACTTTTACATGACTTCTAAATACCACTTTTATTGCATACCATACTTCACTTTTCTTCATTATTGGAATCTATCGCTGCATTGAGATCTAACTGGCTTTTCCAGACCAAATCCCTACTGCTACTTCATAAACAAAGCAGCAAATTATTGCCATGTAACTAAGGTCTTGTTCTTACTGCACATTACAAAAAGCAGAAAGCTGTCCTTCAAACAATTTTTTTTTCCTAATTCCAGTCTGAGACCTGATGAAAAGCAGGTTTCATGAAAGACATACTATTGAAATTTTTCATTAAAACAGAATCAATATAGGCACCACTTCCACCATTTACTTTATGCTACTGATAATGAGATACTAGTATAAGCAATGTTCCAAAATTAGTTTCCTTCCTTGGTTAGAGGTAATGAAGTTTTTCAAGTATGCTCATCTTAGTGACACTACAAGAATTTTCTAACCTGTCTTTCCCATAAGGACGTCATCAGCCGCAAAGTAATTGCTCTAAGCTTTGGCGTGCTCCCCAGCATGTGTATGGCACGTAGAATCTGAGCTACACAAACCTGAAAGAAATTTTTTAACCAAAAGCCACTGTTATTTTTTATGTCCAAGAACAAAGACTAATCTACAAATCATTATTTTACAGCCAAGTACAACAAGGAGATAACCGTCCAACAGCAATGTCAGAAAGAAACCAGAAGTCATTTTCTGAAAAAATTCTTGTGCATAATGAGTCCAAGAGCATCTTCTTGTGATATACATACAATGATGATACAGTGCAGACAATAAAGCATAATGTACATTTCACTCTTTAAAACAAATGTCATATCCCATCCAAAATATTAGAAAGTTAAGCTGAAGCTTACAAATCAGTTATTTTAAGCAGGCTATGCATTGCTCAGTCTAAATAATTTCTTATAAATAAATGACCTTTTACTGATAGTTCTTCTTTTACTAAAATTTTTTCATCCTGACCTTGTGTACACCCAGTGTAGGCAATGTATACAATACATCCCTGTAAAGTGCAGGCTCCAAAGGTCTTCCCAATTTAAATATCAGAACTGGAATCAGATTTGGGACCTGAAATAAAACAAAAGCAGCAAATAAACTTGGAACTATGTTGCCAACACAGTATTTTACATAAGACAGTGAACTTGTCAGAACATATTAGAAACTCCTACCTTTTTGCGCTATTTTTCTGATAATAGGAAAGAGAAAGGATCTTTAGATCCTTTAGAAAGATCTAAAGTCTGTAATTTCATAGGACTTACAATTTATTTCTTTCTAAGTTATCATCTAAAATCACCTTGTTATATGTGTTCAGCTGTAACCACTGCAATAATCTAATTTCCACAATAAATTCATTTTTACTTGAAATTCCATTTCACACACTGAAAGGAACATGTAATTGAAGATAGTACATTAAAATACACACCAAACCAATGAAGAAACTATTCCAATTCTACTCTGTCATTACAGAGGAATTCTGATGATGATCCTACCCCACAAACCTGTCATATAATACAATATAATTTACTGCATTCTTTAATATATGGTACGAAATTTCCAGAGCGCTGCCCCTGAAGTGACAATGAGGGAAAGGAGACTTATTTACCTCCACTCCCTTTTTATTTAGATCATATTTCCAGTATTTTCATACCTGCAGGTCCTTCAGTTTTTTCTTGCACACATTCATGCCACTATGTTGTAAAATGAGATCTACTCATGATGGCCTTGCTTTGCTCCCAAAAAAAACCCCCGCCCCCGATTTTATGGATACTTAAAAGGAATTACACAGCACTGGTCTACATTCTGCCTTTATACTGTAGTAATGATCTTCACTTAGTCACATGGGTTAGTGTACCATAGATAAAACTTCTGTTAAAAGATAGTGTCATTCCCAAGAACAGAAAAGCTAATTAGGAAATTTGGTATTTAGCAGCAGTAAGTGGACACAATTATTTTTGAGTCTTCTGGCTTTCAGAAAATTATTTTCCTTACGTGGCAAACAGGGTAGATTTCCATTTCACTTTTCACTCCAACAATGGAGTTTTCCATTTCACTTTTAGTGTTTACCTCTGGAGTGAGTCACCCTTGGAAGAGTTTTTTTCCTCTTTAAGCTCAAATTACTGTAACTTTAGAAAACTCATTCACTAAGTCCAAGATTGGAGGCTTAAAGCAGGAGAACAAATGTTTATTAAATCCCATACATACTGGGCTGAGCTAAAAGACTGAGCAACTCTTAAACCCAATGTTTACAAGATTAGATCCAATCTTTAATCCAATCTGTAATTCAGCAATCTTACACCTCTAAAAATTTTCCAGGTAAAGCTCACCCTTTAGATATATATATATATATGGGTGGTTTATACATACAGTGGTTCAAAAAATGATTAATGGGAAATTCTGCTATAACATTCTCTTAATATGCATTTTTACATAAGCAGATGTCTTCAGATGATAAAATTTTTCACTGTACAAAGGTCTGTCTCGGTTGACAGAAACTACAGAGCAAGAATAATGAATAAAAATGCAAGAGCTCTGGCATTTTGCATACTTCCCGCTGTAATTACTGGTTCCAAATTACAGACCAAAAAAAATACTGTTTGTTCTACAAGACATCACTATCTTTACAGTTGAGCAATCCAAATGCGTGCTTCCACAAACTTAAAAACTTTTTTCTGGAACCCATATTTAATACCTAAGGAATTAACTATAATACATTATTTTTCCTGGTTTTCCAAATACTACTTGACATTCTTAAATAGAATTAATCCCTTTAGAAACCAAAATTTCCCCACGTTTTTGACTAATTGACTAGTCTCCCTCCCTCTCTCTATGTCCCAAGGTTGTTGTCTGCCGTCTATACAGGTAGTCACCACCCCATCACCTGCCTAGACAGAGGGCTGGCTTTACTGTAAATCTTTCAAAGCAAAATCAATAAAAGTGGCTGAGGATTTAAGGTAGTATTCACTTGAGTAGACTTTCACACCCAGGAGCACTTTCAATACAAGTTTAACAGTGCCTTACTTTCCCACCTGTTTATTCCAAACTGAAAGCATCTTCTTAGCTAGCACCCTCCCTCCCCTTTCTTTCAGGCCTTTGGATTGAAGATAAGTTGGGCGGTTTATCCAGCTTTTGTTGTGTACTGGTTTTGGCTGGGATGGGGTTAATTTTCTTCACAGTAGCTTGTATGGGGCTATGTTTTGGATTTGTGACCAAAACAGTGTTGACAGGGCAAGGATGCTTCAGCTATTGCTGAGCAGCATTCACACAGCGTCCAGCCAGGCCTTCGCTGCTTCCCACGCGGCCCCGCCAGCGAGGAGGCTGGGGGTGCACAAGAGGCTGGGAGGGGACACAGCCGGCACAGCTGACCCCAACTGACCAAAGGGACATCCCAGACCATATGCTGTCGTGCTCAGCAATAAAACTGGTGGAAGAAGGAAGAATGCTCAGAGTTACAGCGTTTGCCTTCCCAAGTACCCATTACAAATGATGAAGCCTTGCTTTCCTAGAGATGGCTGAACATCTGCCTGCTGATGGAAACTCCTTATTTTACTTCGCTTGTGCGCACTGCTTTTGCTTTCCTTATTAAACTCTCTTTATCTCAACCCACGAGTTTTCTCACTTTCACTCTTCTGACTCTCTCCCCCATCCCAGCAGGGGGAGCGAGCAAGTGGTTGCATGGGGCTCAGCTGCCTGCCAGGGTTAAACCACAACATGTACGAATTAAATTTTTTTATGTTATCTTTTACATAAAACTGAATGGCAGGTGAGCAAAATAGAAATAAGGTATCAGAGATACATATGAGGCAGGATCTGTTAAGCTAAAACTTCATATGAAGCATAAATATCTCAAAGAGAACATTCAATCCTCCAATTACACACACATAATGACTAGTTTTCTAAATAAAAGCTGTAGGAGCAAGACCTCTTCCATTAGATGAATTAAAAATTTTTATACACAGAAAATGTAAATTGCAAATGGGTTAACTAAACACTCTGCCTTACATATATCACAAGACTGTTAGATTTACACAAACAGAAGAATAGAAATCTGTATAGCTGCTTTTATAGGAATCTAGGCTGCAATTGTAGGTTTCAAAAGCCGATGTGTAATAAAATACATCAATGAATTTTCAGAATTTCAGAGATAATTAGGTAGAGGTTATTTGTTTATTTAACTGTGGATATCTTACAGCATAGATCAGCATACAAGGAATAGCTTATCTGAATATGCAAAGCTCTAAGTGACAAGTTTAGCTTTTCATCTCAAGCATTCCTCCGGCTTTGGGGTTTTTTTGCAGGGCTTTTTGGTTTTGCTTCTTCACTCCCAAAAGCTGAATCTATAAAAAATGCTACTATTCCTTAAAGGTAAGGGTAAAACAGACGGACCACAAAGAAGAGTCACCGACCAAGATTTGGTTTTGTATCATTTTCTCCAGAGCCTCGCGCCAGTGTGAACATTCCCAAACAGCATTCTTAACCAACATTCTCCAAGGCCAACCTAACAAACTGGTCTCAGCAGGCCAAAGTAGCCCAGACAGTTGTAGGCAGAGATAATTTTGACATATTTTTAAATCACCATCAAGTGAATAAAGTAACACCAACTTTGCAACAGTTCAAGGTAGGTTTTGAGATGGATACCACTCCTCCTGTTCAAAAGGCCACAAACCTGACTTTCACCAGAACAGTGGTGGTTCTTTGCAAGGTGCTCTGAAATTACCAATCTGCTTTTTCTCTCATCAAAAAGTTAACTCATCCAGAATAAACAGTCTCATAGAAGAAAGACTAAAATATAATAAGAAGTAAGACACTTCTGAGAGTAACATACTCCCTGAGAAGCAACATACCTTGTGGTTCTTAGATTCTCTCAGATTTTCTCTCATATGACAACAGGTAAGAACCTTTAAAACCCCAAACTCCTTTCAGACCTATCACATGGGTCTACACCACAGAAGTCAAAGGAGTCCACATACAACCCACCTCACAGCACCACCTTGGAACAGGGCTTTCATATAACTTGGGAAAGGAAGCTCCTCAGTAATTCTCTGAACTACCTTTTCTTCTCTGTTAAAAATAAGTCTTTTTCTCCCCTCCCCTCCCCCAATCTGGCTTTATTCTCATCACAGCTCAACTGCTATTTCAGACACGTGTAGCAACTGGGATCTTTCTCCCCCACCCCACTCTCTGGAGGCTTCCCTGAATTTATGCCATCATGTGCCTTAATCAGCACATTCCTCCTAACTTAAATGTCTTTGAAATGCTTGGTCACACTTTCAAGACCATCATCAAAGTATTTTATAAATCCTGCATCATAAAGAGTATTCCTTGTTATCACAATACTCTTTAAAGCACAAAAGCAGGTGGGGGAAGCAAGTCATCCCAAACTCACCAGCACATGGCAGAGTTTGATTAACATCAATTCTGATCCCAGCCAAAATTCAGTAATAAGATGTCTACATTAACATTGAAAAACAGAAAAATAAACTGTCACTCAAACCATGAGATTTAATTTGCTGCCGTACCTTTCCTTCCCACTCCCCAACTGTAATGATTTGTTTAGACTAACCTATGCACAATGCAGCTGTATTCCTCACTTTACCCATGCTAAAGGGACAACAGCACTGCCTAAGAGAAAATTATGTTCATTAGTACACAGGAGGAAAACTAAAAACAACTTCCTGATTAAATTAAATGGAACCCAAAAGAAGACTTGAGTACCAAAGGCTCCACATCCTCAAAGCAAGAACCTGTTTTGGTTAAATCAAACCTTAGGAAAAGGGAATCTTGCGCAGAAACCAAACAATACAGGAAGAAAAAAAAAAAAATCCCTTCGAAGGTAGGAGACTTGATAGGTGGAAGCAGTTTTATTTCTGGGCACCTATTGTACCTTGGGTGTTAAGAAAAAAAAAAATCACCTGACTTACTGTTACATAAATCTTTGAATGACACACAGTAAATTGCAGGGTGATGAGCAAGCAATGGACATTCTGTACCTCTGGGGGGGCAAGCATTAACACTAACACAGCAACCTGCATCACCATTTTAAGTCCCAAAATTATCAGGGAGGTTACACA